ATGTTTTTAGTGGTTTTCTTTTGCCTCAGCTTTCCTTATAGTATGTTGATTTGACTTCTCCTTGTGCCGACTGCTCCTAAACAGATGGAACTTTCCAATAGCTATGATAAAGCTAGCGTTTGGGGCTGGTTTGTTTAAGTCAGGATGCAAACAGCTTACAACAGTCTCCTGGCAAACCTGGAGTGGGCAAGCTTTGCCACCACTGTGCAGCTGCTGGGAAGCTGGTGTAAAACTGCCTGCTGTCTGCAGACTGGCTCTGTCTGGGGTTGTCAGAGATGACTGTGACTGTGCAGACATGGCCTGTCATCGGACTGCTCTAGTCCAGCCTGCAAAAGGAAAAACCTAAAATTGAGTAAATCCATCAGGCAGCATGATGGCAGACAGTACTGGAGGTGGGAGAGCAGGTGTGAGTTTGGACTTGAGACTGGGGAGGAGAAGGGCTGTTTCTAGGTGCTGGAGAGATCACATGCAAGGTTGAGCCTGAGGGAAGATGAGGAAGGGAGGAGTCTCCCTGGTCGTGGAAGGGTTTAACTGGGAGGAGTTAAACTGCCACACTTCAAAACTAGGCCAAATAGGCAGGGGAAAAAATGAAATGTAATAGTAGACACATGTGAATGTTGTTCTCTCCCTCTCTGTCCCCCTGAAAAAACACTCCAATTGCTCTTCTGACAGTGAGAGCATTTGAAAGAATGAAAAGGACTGGTTTGGCAGTTCTTAATTGCTAATATAATGCTGTGTAGCACTGATAATCAGTTTTCCAGTTTGTCTCACAATATCGAGCTGCAAGAGGAGAAACACGTGAATACCTACTTGTATGGCTGCTGATAGTCTGGTTATGTTTTTGGCACTAGCTTGCTGCTGGTGTCTTGATACCTGTGCCAAAGAGGAGCACTTTCCTGAAGATTGCAGGTGAATGGAAACTGTACTGTGGAAGTCTGCATCAGATGGGGAATGGTGTTTTGTCTTAGTATGTAAACTGATCAGCTGTTATCCCCTAAACAAATAAATCTCTCTCATGTAAATATTTTAAGACCAGCAGTAATGTAACATTCCCTGTCTTTGTCCGTGTTTATGTTTTAGCAGTTGAGGCGTTACTAGCAAGGTAGTGTACCTGTCTCCTGCCTTTTCTTTGGTAATTTTGGTAGTAATTTGAGACTTTCAAAGGGAGAGATAACTAGAAAGAGATTATCTGTGGGTCTTTGGTAGAATTATGAAACGTGCTGTAACCAATCTTTATTCCTTGAAGGAACACTGATAGATGTATAGCATAATATCTTGTAACTAATATTGCTGAACAGCTAATCAGGCAACCTGGGGAGCCTGCAGCCATCAGAAGTTTGTTAGTATTGTTAATGCTTTAAAGTGCTCAAAATAGCCACCATAAATGCTCTTACAACTATGTTAAGATCAGTCTGCTGGAAAAAATACCAAAGTTCAGTTTGTCTTTCCAGGATTTACTTGCTCCTTTTGATAGATGCCAAAACAGCGTATTTTCTTGAAGGTATACTCCCCTTGCTTTATAAAGACCTTGTAGTGTAGGCTTAGACTGGGCTTTTTCATCATGCTTAAAATAATCTTTTTTTTAAAAGCTGAAAAGTTTAACGCTTCTAAAATAGAGCCCTCTGGATTTTTAAACTTATTCAAGAGATAAGGCAATGAAAGGCCAAATCAACTATTACTGTTAGCTTTAGGGTTAAACAAAACCAGCAACAACAAAAAGTATCCTTTTAAAGACTCCTTTTGCTCTTAGTCTGCCCTAAGTTTGTTTAGCAGGGGCTTCCAACCATTCATTTCCAGGTGTCTTCTAGCTCTGTGAATGCCAGTTGTTCTGTGCTCAGTTCTAGATGTTAAATGTGTTGACTTGATTCGAAATGGTGGACATTGAATATCAGAATTGGTGAATGCATAATCACCTTCTACGATCTGCCTGGTGTCAACAAAGTCCCAAGTTCACCACTACTAGCATGTGTTTATTCTCTCCATTTTGATTTTGTAGGCTCCAGTGCTCTTTAAAGGAAGCCTTAATTTATTTTTCACCATAACCACCTATAAGGGATTCATATGAGACAATGATTATTTGAGTAAGGATATGAAATCTGACTTCAGAGGTTCTTGAAAACTGAGCTTTGTTCTTTGCTTATTTCTATTCCTATACAAGTGATACTTTAACATACTTGAAGTAACATGGCTACTGCATAGAGAATTTTTTCTGAAGAATTGCCAACTCATTACTTCACTGTAGAAGAATGTGATATTTCTAGTATTCCGTTTCAGTGACTAGATTAAATAACTGGTGAAAACCTGTTGCTTTGATGCTGTTGCTGTTTGTCTTTGTAATAATGGTTCAGTAAATATCCTGCTTTTGTGTTTGTGTTCAGTACTTTTGTTTATATACTATATCTTCCTGCTTCTGTCTTCAAAACCTTTGCATTTAATTCTGTGTGACTTCTTTTTTTAGGGAATGGTACTTATAAAAATACTGTGTAAAATCATTGTTGTTAGTTGAAGTAACACCTAGAATAGTTGCTTAATGATCCTGATTCATGACTTAAAAGAAATTCTCCCTCAAGCTGTGCTTTTGAAAAATGTATTTGAGTGCTTGAGTAATTACTTCAATAGAAGCCTTATAGGAAAGCACCAAGCAGTAGAAGAACTAAGGAAAGAGCAAAGGGGATCAGTTTGATATGTATCTGAAACTGGACGTTCTAGAGCTTGCTGCATTCGCGGAATGAGTTTGAGTTGACAGCTGATTTAGAGCATGCTCCCCTCATCTTTAAACGGTAAAATGCTGCTGAGAAGCTGCATTTGTTCCTCTAGCTGCTTTTTGAAATGTAGAGCTTTAACTTAGTAAGTCATACAAAGTTAACATGCAGTGTTTATATAGTGGCCTTTCGTTGGTTGGTTTGGGGGGGTTGTTTGGTTTTTGCACCTTTTCCAAGAGGCTGTTTAGAAAAGGAATTTCTGACTGGTCTGGATTAATTACTTTTCTGGTATGTTGATCCATTAATGAAACAAGTTTTTAGAAAACAGTGTGGAAAGTTTTATAAAGCTGTCAGATTTGTTGTATGAAGTTCAGATGTCATGGAACTTTCGGTTTTGTCAAACGTGAATTATTTCAGATATAATGTCTGGAGTGCTGAGTTTCAGAGGTGTTTTCAGTAAGTGTGAGCTTGTGGTTTGTGGTGTTCTCATAGCATGACGAAGGTTGGATGCTCTTTAGTGAGTTGGATATGTTCAGGTGTCCATTGCAGTAACTTACAAAAGATTCTAAAATATGGCTGATAATTTTGTGTTGGAGATTTAATACCAGTCTACAGTAAATCTGTGTACAGAATCACAGTTCTGCATAGTAGTGCCAAGCGCGTAGTGAAAGTGCACCTCCTAAGAGAGGTCTGATGCAAAGCATGTTTAATGACTCATTAAAGCTTGAGTGGTCTATTCAGTGATGAGGATTATATAATACACACTCAGTGTACGCTGTATGTAGGGTTTCTGTTTTGTTGCGGAGCTGATCTGAACTGAGGGAAATAGCTTGGACATAAACCTTCCTTTGTTAGTGCAGTTCCTGGTTTTGCGTACTTGATACAGGATGTCTTGAGACAAGTTATTTAATCCTGTCACACCACCTACTGTTGAAAAGCAAACATTGGACATAAGTGGTTTTCTTGCCTAAATCTTAATATAATCACCTTAATGTCATGCTTTCTTGATCTTAGTGCAAACTGATGGTTTCTTGGTTATTGGGGTTTAAGAGTGGAGATCCTGCAAGAAAACTGATATTGAATAAAGTGGAATTACTAGCTAATTTTGTCGTATTTCAAGTCTCTGACATAGCTTAAGCAAAATTGAAATGTGGTTTATAGTGACAAGAATAAAGGATATTCCCTTTAGACAGAAACTTGGTTGTTCTAAGTCAAGCCTAAAACACTGTAGTTGTCTCTCTTTAAGTAAGATAAACTGTCGAACTTGAAAATGACAACAACATCAGATGTTAAGATATTTTGTAAAATATCTTTTCTTATAATAACAAAATATTTATTAAAAATATTTTGTTAAGTCCGTCTTCCATATCTCTATTTTTGGTTTTGTGCAAAAACAAAAACCTCTCTTCCATAGTTATTCAGAGGACTTCTTCATAAAGATCTTGGATGTCAGAGCTGACAGGAGTGAACTCAGTGCTGGCAAGACAAGTCTGTGTGTACGTAACTTCCATTGGGCCATTGTAGTTTTAACCTGTGTGCACACTTTTTGGAAATAAACTAAAAGCTCAATTTAACTAAATTCAAATTTTCTTGCAGAAAGTGTGGTTACTTTGTTAGTAGTGCAAGAAGTATAAAGCCCCACCTGAAGATGGCACACCTGTCTCATATAGATACTCTTCCTATTTGATTAACTTAGCTATTGGGCGTTAGTATTCAACGAGCTGAAATGAAAACAGCAATTAATGCAAAAATGTGTCTGCACCAGTTGGCCATTAAGAACTGTGTTCCAGGGAGTGCTGTTTAACTAGTTCTGCGGAACTAGGCAGTTCTCAGTATATTATGTGAGCACAACACAATTTGATATTCTCGTGGTGTCCTTGAAAGGATATTTAGAGTGCTCTGTCAAATCGGGGGTGGGGGGAGGGCAGGGGGCAACAAAGAAAAGAATCTTTCTTGGATTGTCTTTGAGCCAGAGGTGATTTTTTTTTTTTTTTTTTTTTTAATGGGATCACCAGTACAGCTAACCATAATATGCAGAGGTAGGAGAACCAAGAAAGACTTTTTGTGCATGCAAATGTAAAACGGAATCTTTTAAATCTTTGGAACTGTTTTTCTGCATTTACAGCATTTTTTTACTATGTCAATATGAGGTAATTAAGCCCTTTCATATGTATTTTTAAACGTATATCTTTTTACTTGTAGGCATATAAGTAGAAGAAGCAATTGTTCAAGCTTCTTTGCAACTCCTTTTGTCCTTTCCTCTCACTCCCTCTTCCCCCTCCCCCGGCCAATTGACAGGTGTAGGATCTTCGCCAAGAGAGAAGCATGCCTCTGTGAAAAATTCTCCAGCCTCCTGGGCTAGCTCCGGTAAAGCGCTTGCCAAATCCAAAGTGCCTGTCAAAAGATCAGTGCTTGAGAGAACACCTAGCATCTCATCAGTCAGCAGCACACAGAGTGAGCGAAGTCTTTTCAGCAGTAATTGTAAGTATCTGTTAGGGTTATGGGTTTTAACTGTTAGCAAGCATCAACTGTTTGTTGAAAAAAAATGCCCCTGAAGAGAGTCCTGTCTGACAAAACCCTGTATTAATTCTCATTGTGCTAATTATTATTAGTTCTAAGTCTTACTCTTTTTGCCTCTTAACTTACAACTTTCCTTCTTCAGGAGTGCCACCTGAAGGAGCTTTGAGCCTCGGATTTTTGTTTGAGTGGAGGTTTCAGTACAGCTTCTCTTCCATCCTGAGACATTACAAAACCAGTGGGTTGTCTTAACAAAAGCTTCCTTGTGTTTAAATATAGCGTAATAAGGAATAAGTCTGAACGGTGTGAACAGATTACCTGTCATAATATTTGGAACTTCACATTAGAAGTTTTTGATACTAAGTGCACTTTTTGAGCTAGATTATATCTGCTTTCACGTTTTGTCTTAAAACTCTGTAGATGAGATCAAAAGCAGGTAAGTGAACCTGCTTTTAGAAGGTAAAACTTTGCATGGGTAAGCTTCTGTCATTTCTAAGGTAACTGTAAGCATTGGTGTATGACCTGAATGAAATGCATCTTGATTAAAACTAGGGAGAAAAAAGACAGAACTTGGTTTGATTTGAAGCTTTACAAAGGGTCTGTACCAGCAGTTGTAGGAGTTCTAGTGGCAAAAATATGGAGGAAATAGCACACAACTGACTGTCAGACTTACTGGTATTCCCAGCTATACGTATTCAAATGAGTACATTCAAATATTCTGTTACTATCGCATCATCTGTTTTATCTTGGAGACTGGGTGAAGGCCTTTCCTTTGTGCCAGATGTCATTTAAATCTGTCTTCAATGGACTGAAAGAGAACTGTGATTTAACATATGTCTATAGTTTATGTATGCGCATATGCATACATACATAATTTTCTCTTGTTCTTTTTTTTCCCTGTAGTGCCTTCATTAAAAAACCAAGACCTAACATATTCCTCAAAGGAGTAAGAGTATGTGTAATAAAATATGCAGTGCATGTTCCTGTGTAATCAGGTCTGTTTGGTTCCTGTGACAGCCATATTGACTTTTGCTGTTCAGGTTTAGGACTGTATCTGGAATTCCTAAGCAGCTTTGTCCTCTTTGTTTTACTTCCTCATGTAACAAAGGAAAGGGCCATCGCTTCATAACAAAGAAGCGTATTCAGATTAAGTATACAAACAGATGACTCCTTATTTAGCCTGATTTGCTATCTGGTTTAATCTGTTTTGTCCAGTGCCTTCAAGCTTGCAATTTTTTCCACTCTGATTCACGAAGAGTAAGCAAGAGCAATATGAGAGGTTGAATATGGCTGCAGTCTCTTTGGCTTTAAGCTTGCTTTGATCTTTTTTAAATGACTATACCAGGAGGACTCCGCAGTTGCACAGAAACTAATTTTTCTCCTATTATTTTCATCAATTCTACACTAACACCACCGACTGACTCAGGAAGCCACTATGATATTACCTTACTGACATTGCTGGTAGTGGGATCTTACAGCTTTTGTATTATTCCTTTGTTATCCACGTTTACTGGGAAAAGAAGTAGGTTGTATTCCTTTTTATTTCTATTTTAAAGCATGTATTTTGTTTTATGGGGGTTGGTAACTGTATGCAATGTTTTGACTTGCTGGTTTTCTGTGAGATTATTTTTCTTTAGTTAATTTCTTACATTTGATGAGTGATTTATGTCTGATTGTCAGGTTTTATGAGTATAATGAGTTTAGGTTACATGTAATTCATACGTTAGTAAAGTGAAGTTTTTATGACTTTGAATCAAATTGGAAAGAATTAATGAATTTACTTTATACTCTAATGTTGAGTACAGCACTGTTCTGTTTTTTATTCTTTCATTTAGTCTACTATACAGTAATGCCAGGGGAAAAAAAAAAAAAAAATCTGTGTTTGTAAACCTAAAATGTTTCTTATTAGATTGATGGGATGCACAAAGATCAAGATGGGAGGCTTATGCTGTGAATGTCATGAAATTTATGACAAACTATTGTGGTCCTGTCAACAGTATTAAATCGATAAAGTCGCTTGGCTTGTTTTGGTTAAGGAGTTTGCCTTGTGTTAGTGGAGGAAAAAAATAGAAAAGAGAGTGTTTCTCCTGCTGTGTCAGCTCAGCCCTTTGTTATGGGATGTCATTGGATCAGTAGAGTCCTGTGGCAGCATTAGGGTTTTTTAGTCTAATGAGCACTTGAGTTTTATGATTCTTTTCTCTAAAAAGACGTAATATTTAAGAAGTTTGTAAATCATAAAGTTTGAAGTGCTGTTGTTAATAAAAGCATATTTTGCATACAAGCTGTAAGTTTGAGCACTGAAAATTCGAAAATTTTTTTAACAGTAGGGAATTCTTCTCAGTTTCAGTACTGAGCTGAAAATACTATCATTTGAACATACTGAAAACTCTGAGGTTAAGAACAAGAATCCAAATCTGAATTGCAGTAGAATAATTGCATATAAAGGAAATAGTGTTTCAGAAGTTAAAAAAGCTGATCCTAGAAATTGACCTGGAGCTGCATTTCTGTATGGCCAATACTTCACTGAAATACTTCTCATGAGTTGAGTTTTTAAACCCTTTATATCTTAAATGGGGTGAGATCACTTAATATACCTGTCTGCCTTTCATCAAGGCTGCAGTAGCTACTCCTAATGAATTCTATGAATAACCATCTTTGGATCGTATAGTGACCAAACTTTGCAAATTTGCCTTTCTTTCTGCACGCAGCCTGGTTAGCCAACTCTAGAGTTTCTAATAAGACAGAACAGTGCCCTAATTAGTCCTGCACCAGAAGTGTGCTCGAAGTGTTACTTCCATGGCATGCTTCTGATTTAGAAGATAGTAGCAGAGCAGTTTGTAGGCAGTTGTTAGCTGCTTACAGTGAACTCTGAGCAAAAATCCTTACTCCAGTGATTTACAGAAAAAGTTAAGGCCTGTTTCAGGCCTCATGCTTTATTAAAACAAATTGGTTTGAATCGCCTGATGTTGATTAGGGTCAGATTCCTGCAGAATAACTGTTATTGCTGTGTTGTGCAAATTGTTCCCTCTGAGGTCTGCTTTCATCAAGGAGGTCACTGTTATGAACAGAGACCACAGAAACCTTTTTAAAAAACTTATTTGGTAGCTGGCAAATGCAGTTGGGCTCACGCTTTTTTTGGTGCCCAGTGAGGAGGACAGAAGGGATGCAGAGTCTGCTGGTGGTGCATGGACCATATCATTGAAACAGCACCCTCAGCTCAAATGAGAGAGACCAGGGGGAGGTGTTGCATGAGGAAGTTGCCTGAGTTTTGTTTTTTATTTTTTTAACAGTCCATTCTGTGGCCAGAATGTCTTTGTGTACAGATGGTGCTTTTTCTTGGCTTAAAAATGTGTTCTGCATTTGCTTTGTACAGCAAGATCAGACTTCTAGTTATGCATCTTGATCAATATACTTTTATATATATATGCCCATCTTATGCATAGTTCAAAGCTGTACGTCTACTTCTGAGAAGTGTTTGTAACAGTCATAGACTGATCTGTTACAGTGCATCAGTCTGTACTGGAGATACTAGAGGTGGTCATAATATTTTTATTTCAGCTTGTTTTCCTCCTAACTTTGGGTAAACCAGACTTGTTTTAGGATTTGATTTTCCCCAAACTAGATGCTACCTGGAGCAAATCTGTTGTTCTGTATTGCAGCTGCAAATGCCACAGTCATCATCAAGAACGGAGAATGGTCTTCAAAACCAGCCTGCCAGAATGGTACTTTGGGATCTGTCCCTTTGAAAGCAGTCCCAAGACCTAGATTACACTCTTTGAAGTCAACACCAAAAGGTATGTGGGTCTGTTTGTAGATAGAGTGAAACTGTAGTTACCACTGTTAGGGTACCTTACCTGTTGCAGGTGGCTGGCTCCTGAAGCAGTGTTTATTTAATGGTGGTCTCAGAAAATAGTACAAGGAAGTAAAATCAGTAGTGCTTCATTGTAAGAGTTCATAGGAAGGCTAAAAGGTCCTTTGTTTTGTCATAATTGACTGGGGTATTTCAGGCAAATAAGGAGGAGTTTTGCACTGTGATATGGCTGAGGTTTGTGTGGGACAGGGACTAAATGCGCTTTGCTACGTGGCAGGTGTCATCGTGTGGGGTTTACGTTGTTTTAATAAGAGTTCTATTCTAGCACAAAGCTCAAATACAGCATCTATGGCGGCTGGTGGTCTGCAGGGTAGACCTATCCTGAGTGTATGGTTGTCCTTGTCCTCATGCAGATTTCATCTTCAGTGCTTTCAGGACAAAGAACCTTGGAGGATGGGGGTATTTTTTTTAAATAAGGTGTTGTTAGATAAAGTATCTTCTTTCGTAGTTGAGTGACATTGTCCCATCTTTCCAAGGGAAGAGTCCCAGAAACAGCGTAGCTCTTCATGCTGCTTTTTCTTAATATTCTTACTGGCTGAAGTGGAAGCAAAGATTTGATTTAATTTTTAATGGAGATAAGACAACTGTGCTTCATCATCTGGTGCTAAAGGAAACATTAATTTAAATGTACTTTATGACTTTGTATTAAATGCTATTCTGGTTCCTATTCCTATTCGAGCCAGGACCCCTTGACCAGCCAACAGTGCTTCTTCACTCAGACCACAGACAGACATTTCATTCTCTGGCCAAAATTAAAGACCTAATGGAAGTAGATAAATAAGCTTGCTGTCTCTGTCTCTGTCTCTGTCTCTGTCTCTGTCTCTCTCTCTCTCTCTCTCTCTCTCTCTCCTAAATCCTAGTTATAATCAGCTTGCTTCTGACCATCTTTGTGGCGAACTGGTTATTGTAATTGGATAAACCTGATTAAATACTATGCTCCTGCTTTAGGCTTAGGTTTTAAGCTGGTATCTGACATAATTGAGAATAAATAGAAGGGTTGCCCGCCAAACGTCATGCTACAATGACATGCTTTAAAATGGCAAACAGTGAAAAGAAACAGTATTTGCCACAAACTGTAAATCACTTTGAAGCAAACACAAATTATATGGCTGTCTGGCAAGCTGCTGCTTTCTGTTGGGGTCCAACACATGCAACACAACTGTGCATTGCTCAACAACTTCAGTGACCTGGGCACTAGAAGTGTGCCTTCAGCACCTGCAGGAGCAGCGTAGCCAAAAAGAAACTGGTATTCCCCACTTGGCTCAGTATTATTTGGACTACTCTGTTGTGTTTTGGGGCCTTCCCAGTTCAAGAGAGTTGTTTTGAAACTGGAAACATCAACTGGAGACTTAGGAAGATAGTTAGGGTCTCTGACCACATGACCTGTGAGGAGAGGTTGAGGGAACTTGTGTAGTCAGGCAAAAAGGAGAGTAAGGGGAGATATTATAACAGTCTGCAATAACTTGAAAAGGACAGCTACAAAGGCTGTGGTGCCAAACTAGTACCAGATGATGTGGCAATGGGGAAATGATTGTCAATTGTGGGGTGGGAGATGCAGCACTTCCCTGTGGGGCTGTAGAGCCTCCCTTCCTGGAGGCTTGCAAGGCTCAGCTAAACAAAACCATGGTCAACTGATCTCATCTTGGTGATGGCCCTGCTCTGAGTGGGAGGCTGGATAGCTGGCCTCCAGTGGTGCCTTTCAGTCCATCATTCCATAGCTGTGTTGTATTTGCTGCTGTTTTGAGACTGAAGTAATCTAAAGTGCTGAAGTGAAATGTTTAGTAATGTTTTCTTCTGCTTAGAAGCTTTATTAAAGCTTATCTTTTTATTTCTTGCTATGTGAGTTCTGGTGAAGTAAAGCTAAGTTTAAATATAGCTTAAATTTTCTAGGTGTTTCTCTTTGTGTTTATTGGAGTAGATTTGTGCATCGCTTAACTATAAATATGTAATATTAGGCATGTCTTTAATTGCTGATGTAGTTCTACTTTTAAACCTGATCTAAGCTTTTACTTCTAGGAGCCAAGGCCAGGTCTACTTCACTGAACCAGTGCACACCAAAATCATCTGGGTTGCTGCACTCTGCAAGGAAAGTCAGTGAGGCCAGAGGTAATCAGCTGTTGGATAAAGTTAATTTTTCACTTACGTTTTAGAATCCCTGTGTCTTGAGAAAGAGCAGCTATGCTCTGTGACTTCAGAGTAACTGAGATAGTCGGTCTGCTCTTTCTCCTTGTAGGTCATAGTATTGGAGACTCATTCTGCAAATTGTTCCTTACGTATTTGGGTTGGGGGGGATAGGAATCAGGGCATCATTGTCCACTATCTGCTTGAAACTTGCACCCCGTGAGGACTTAGAATACTTGATAATGTCTGTTAAATCATGTTCTTTCACGTATTCATGATATCATATACTTGTAAGGCACAACCCAGAATAGATTTCCCAAGTTTGTGGTTAATTTGAGCAAGATTCTGTGAGAGCATGCTGATGAGTTTTGACTGTCAAGGATAATATTTACGTTTCTGTATTTGAAGCTTGTTTTATCTTTAGCTTTCAATTGTAGTCATTTTTACCAGAGTGAATCAGAAGAATAGATATGAATCCTCAGGCAAGCTTTGTAAGACAAAATTTTCACTTTGGGAGCAGAGTTCCATTTGCATGGCTGAGGGAAACAAGTTCGGTAGCAGTACAAAGCAGATTGTTTCCTATTGAAACACTTGTTATAGGATCACACGCTATTTGTGAAGCCTGAAGAAAGCAGATAGGTGTTGTTGACAGACCTTTTATAAACTTCTGCACATGACTTTTGCACTTATACCTAGCAGTCCAAAAGAGTGCTTTCATTTAATTAATATCCTTCAACATAATATGGTTCTTGGCTCAGTTTTCACGTGACTTTAAAACAATACAGTAAGGGTAGCTTAACCTTCTCAGTGCTTTCACTTATGTCTAACTTGTTTGGTAGCACGTTTGAGAGTGCTGTGAATTTATACCTTCTTCATACAAATAAAATAACTGGAGCATACAGATGGAAAAAAGTTACTATGGTGCCAGTATAGCTGATTGGTTTTTTCTTATTTGTGTTACTCTGTGAATGAGTAAAATAAAACCATGCTATTTGGCTTAAATGAAGGATGATGATTGTAATGGAAAAAAAAATATTTGTCTTATGGGGAGATTCATCATGTATTTTCCAAGTAGTTTAACATTATAATGCTAAATCTTCATGTTGAATGTGCCATCAGCCATCACAAGGAAGAAACTGCAATTGTGAAGTTCGAGGAGCTTATGTGAAAAAGAATCTAAAAAGAGTGCCCCCACTGCCCCTTATTTATTTTTTTTTTAACATTGTAGGTACTCCAGGAAGAAATGGACACCAAAGTGTATCTAGTTTGGGTTCTGGTGAGTTTCCTGAACGCATTTTTACATTTTTGTGTGGTGCAACTTTAATTAGGTTTATACATTATATTAGTATATTGTTTTATTTCTTGGAACAACAGTTTTGCAACAGATAATTCAGTAAACCATCACTAATTCCATTTCAAGGGATATGGAGAAAAGTCTTGGGCTTTTTTTTTCTACTTACTATCTTCTGGCTAGTCAGCTCTTAGAATATGCAGTCTGTGCTGTCACTGTCTATTTCTGGTGAAGCATAAGGAGGTTTTAACTGTAACCAAAAAAAAGTATCTCAATGAAACTTAGATGTAGTTTTTGCTGTTTAGCCACAGTGAGGTAAGTAATGATTAAAGCTTATGTGTTGTGGCTTTTAAAAAAACAAATAGACGAATCATGCAGAATAACAGGTTTTTCTGGATGGTTCATGGTAGATACCCTTCTGGTGTGAGGTGTCTCTGTATCACTGAGACGACACTTGAATAAGTTGAAATTTCTGAGTGTGTTGATGTGTATGTCTGCTTGTATGGCAGAAGGAGGAATCGCAGCTGATTAAGCAGCAGATGGCGTTCCAAAATCTGGCAGAGTTTTAAGGACTTCATATTGGGTTTGTTTTTGGTGTTTATGCCAGTCAGGCCACCTGGTACTATTTTCTATCTGCCACGAGACAGAAAAATCTTCAGATTGTATTTCTACTTGCAGCAATTTCCAGGTCTTTTCAAGGGAGTTGGCAATCTAAATTAGTTTCCTGAGTATCAGCGTGTATTTGCTGAATTAAAAGCTGCTTGTAATTAATTACTCTTTGAAAAGCACTTTTTGAAAGATACTGAGGATCCCTGGAAAGCCCTATTTCCCCTGAGTGAATAGCAGATGTCTTTCTGAAAGAAGTGCTGTAGCCAAGCAGATGTTATGAATTCGAGTCTGGAATTACTGGTAAATCAGTTCTGACCTGTAACTCTGGTACTGTGGCAGTATGTTTTTTAATTTCCTGTAGTCATAATGTAAGTCTAATGCTTTTGCCTTTTACTCTCTTAGGTGTCAAATGTCCACATATTAATCGTGACTTGAGTACTTTGCTCAGTGTTTGTTGCCAAGAATCAGGGCTTCTGTTGTGCAGCAGGCATAAGACTTCGCATAAAGTGCTTATTCTGTTGTTTGCTTTTATTGATACTTGGCTGAACTAATGTTGGTTTAGGTATAGCCTGACATTAAGTTTCCTGAGCTCATATGCAGTCTGTTGTATACGAGTGTACAGGATGATACAGCTAGTGACAATGTCTTGATTGGCTCAAGTGAGGGAACTCGGAATAAGCAAAAAAAGTCTGTTTCTGGACTAGAAACAGAAAACAAAATTCCTCTTCCACTTATGATAGTCTTAAAATATAAGACTTTATTTTCCCACAAACTTAGTGTGGCACGTTCTCTCAGTTTTTCCATGCGGAGAAGTAATTAGTGCTCCCTCCCCTTTTTACTCGTTTAATATAACTTTTCATGTGATTCGTCTTTTCCAGCCTAATAAAGCATGTTGCTACATAGCCTTGAAGTATTATATTCAATGCTGTAAAAGCACAGCTGTAAACTCCAAATTTGCTGTAATATTTAATGTTTCTTTAGCAAATGCTCTTCAGCATCATAGTTTCACCAGTCAAATAGCTGTATTTCAGTGTGTCTCAAACCCGAACTGTTTCCTGTACTGAGTCAGCTTCCAAAATTGGATGATTTGTTAGACTTTCAAGTTAATACGTTTCTAACTTGTACAGAGCATTAGTATAATTTCCCATTTACGAATGGAAAACTTTCTGATGGAGTATTTTTCTTTCTTAAGAAAGATTTATTTATTTATTTATTTTTTCCATCTTCACAGTCACAGATCATTCTTACAGAATAAAAAAATGTAGTGTGGCTGCTTGGATGTTCTGCAGTACAATGTCTTACATTTTAAGAGTAGACAAATGATCTTTTTTGAGATGAACTGAAATAATGCCAGCTGGTACCATGTAGAATGGGGCCCACTATCTTTTTTTTTTATTTTTTTTTTTTTTCAGTAGCCTTGATGTTATAGTGAGGCTTTGTTCTAGTGATTTTTAGCTAGTTTAAAGCTTTTGTTCTTTTATTTCAGAGCCATAGTTAACTCTACAGTTTCTAGCCTCGTTCAGTGAAGAGGTCCAGCTCATTTCTATGTCTTGCCCATGTGCTCTGTCTGAAAAGTCAGGACTAATTTATTATGGCAGGACTCTGATAATGGATTATAATATTAAGGCAATAATTAAGTGTTTAGCTCAGTTGTTAATGTTTTCACATTACTTCAAGGATGGAAAAATAGCAGAAGATTCTAGGATACAGTTTTTGTTCTCTGGCTGTTTGTGCTCTTTATCCATTTTCCATTCATTTACAGCAATGATGCAAAGCCAGAATCTTCTTGACAAAGCAGGCCTAACATACTGGTAGTATGCTTGTAAAATTGGAGATTTACATATTTGCAGCTGTTCATTCCTTGTTCATGTTAAAACATTCACAAGGCTTCTTTTTGTGTAGTCTTTATTTTTCATGGGTGATATTCCAGTGGATCGAGTAATTTCTACAAGTACTGTGGTGTATTCCTTCAGCACTGCCTTTAAAGCCAAGGCAAAGTTTAACTTCTTGGGCATAACATGTTTTATTATACTTCTTAACTTGCTGACTTCAAGTAAGAATGTACATGTGCACGTACTGTAATGTCTTTATGTAAGTAAGACTAAAAATGCCGCCTCTCGTGAGATGTAAGTTTGAACTAGATGCACAATTG